TTTTGTTACTGAAGTTTTGGTAGGTTTATGTAATGGTTGTATTTGTATGTTGTTAAAATTATGTTAGTATTATTTATTATTTAATCTGATAATATTATATAGTCCGTATCTATTTTTAAAGAACAAATATATAAAATATTAACATTAAAAAATAATATTTTAAAAAAATAGTATAAATTTTAAAAAACTCAAACACATTAATATTAAGTGCTACACATTATATAATATATGTGATATTTAAAGTCGTATAGTCTATAATCGCATTGACAATAGACATCCACCCAAAAACACAACTGATTAAACCTAAGATTTTAAGAAGAATAAAATTATTTTTAATCACTTAGATCACGTAATGAGTTTTAATTTTTTTTTTTGTTATGCTCGTCGTTGAATCGTTACTAAACCTTGTAGTTATAGCTATGGCCTATGAAGTTTACATTAATATTGTGCTGATTGGTATATAAGTAAAACTATTAGACCTCCATTAATTGAAGGAAAACAAGCTGCATGTGTGAGTGTGAGCAATCATGCAGAACGAAATTCAGAACCTGCAACAAAAATTACAATAGTTTGCCCTTGCAGAACAAGAAATCAAAAGAGACAAATGGATTCAGTGTGTTTTTAAAGACATTCGCTGCCATGTTTTTGGACCCAAACAAGACTTTTATAGCATGTGACGAAATCTTTGTCCGCTTCATTTTTGCAGAATCTTCGAATTGTGTGCATTGCGTGTCCTAATAGTACACCCCCACCAGAAAAAGAAGAAGCTTTTTCATCATTTCATGTTCTCCCCCATTGCTTGCATTTTGAGGTTCTGAACCGAAATCTTCAATTCTCTACCTTCTTGTGTCTTTTTCAACTCCCAACACTCATTTGGCCCTTAACCAAAACCAAGGGTGGTGAAATCTGAGGCAAGAAGCCCAGGTGGTGCCATTTTGCTTAGGAAAAAATACACTCATTTTGACTCCCATTTTTGTAAAACTACACACGCCATCTTTGACAAACGTGACAGTCGAACCGTGTGTGTATTTTTCTCTTCACATGCTCCGTACAGTACTCTCCCCCAAGTCTACCACGCAAAGTACAATCAATCCCTTTGCATCTTTACCACGTCGTATTGGTCAAAATCCACTTCTTCAAAACTAAATTACATTAATCTTTCACTCCTCATAATATACAACCGCAAAACCTGCATTTATCAGACTATCTACCCTGCAACTAGATTATGAAATGCTTCTTGCCCAACAACCAGGAAGATTAAATATCGAGAGAGACTTATTACATATTTAATCTAAAAAATTAAAGAAGACAAAAGTTTATATTTACTTGAGTTTAAAAATATATAGAACTTAAATATTATTAGATCAAAAATTTTAAGAGGGACAGGATCTCTCCCATCCTCCATGTACCTTCGTCCCTAGTAACAGCAGTTCTTTAGGCCTGGTATATATTCGACATTGAATTGTTTGTATTTGTGGTTTAGGAAGCCTTGAGATATTTCAGATAGATCTACAAATGTGAAAAAAGAATAAGAATTTGTTGTTGCAAGTGAAGAGAGAAACCAGATTGAAGGGAGGGGTGTGAAAAACAAACAAAATGAATGAGACAAATGTATGCATATGATATCTTACCTTTAGCCATTGATCATCTGTAGTATTTCACAAGTGAGTTGAACTTGCAATGCAGATCGCCAATGGCAATGAGAGACGAAACAGAAAAGCTGAGGAACTCATGGTGGAGAAGGGGAGCACGTGCAAAGTTCACTTAGAAATAGCATGTGAAAATACCTGGGAAGGTTGCTAAACATGGAAACTTGCACGTGCCCTGCTTCTCCAACAAGAGGTACTCACCTGCAACCATGAAAACCCATCCAAGAAGTAGGTTTAAATCTACGAGTTGTGTGGAGAAAGCAAAGCAAGTGCCATGCATTTATAAACAAATTTCTCCAGAGAGACAGAGAGAGGTGTAAGATGAGTTACCGAGATTGAGTCTAGAAGTGGGCATTCTGACATGATATCTGTTTGAAGATTGCAAATTACAGATTTTTAATCCAATTGATTTGTATATTTGAATTCTGAGAACTTCAAGATGAAAGAATGATACAAACCAAGCACTCGCCATTATCATCATCATCAAAGCTGTGGGGTCCTACACTAGTTGGAATTTCCAATGCAATGAAAATGGTCTTGCAAAAAAATGACGAATTTGACATTACTCCCAGTAAATCTTATCCTTGCTGGGTTTTATAATTGCTCATCACAAATCCGTATTGAAACTTTAAAATTCTTGATCTCATCACCAGAGTTAACTTGTTAGACTAAACTTGGGTCCTTCAAATCTGTGTTTAAATAATAAAAAGATGAGGGTCTCGTCTGTTTAACTCACTGTCAAAACTCGAGTTTAATTTGCATTGCAGGGAAGAAAGAAAGGTCCTTTTCTCTCTACCTGGAACCCTGTTTTTCATTAATTCATGTCCAATACTTAACGTGTGAAGTTATATAGTATTAAAATCTGCAGAAATGAAGAAAAAAACATGAACCCTGACACGTAAATGAGTGAAATTTCTTCATCAATAACCGCCTTCACTTGATGATCCGACAGAGTTTTTAAGCATACATAATCATAAAATTAGTCACCAATGTTTGTAATATCCACTTTATCTCTATCTTTTAAAAAGTATTTAAAAGCATTCTTTTATCAAAATAACCCTTATTAAATAAAAAAAAATCATTAATTAACTAAGGATTAACATATATTACTGATGATTATTTTTACTAAAGTGATGACATTGTATGTATCAACTCACTAAAATTGATGACATAACATGTATCACCTCACCCAAAGTGATAATGGAACATGTATCACACTATAAATCAAGTAAATGTGAAAACATTATATCTTCAGTATGTGTTGATCGTTAATCAACTAATAATTTTCATCCAATAAAAATTATTTTTATCAAAAATTAAAATATCAAAACTAAAATGTTACAAAAACGTTGGGAGGTTATTTTTTTTTATCATTTTACATTTGAAGCATGCATGCCACTATAATTCAAATATGAATATCATCGATCGTGACAAATGTGATCTAAAACACGAATATAACATGTTTTTGATATCCGGCTACAAGTGTAATCCTCGACTATTCTCAAATATGAAGAAGGGGAATGGTGTGATGGGGTATGAAATATATAATGGTAATGGGGGATGAGACCTTAGCTTTTGGCAATGGCCAAACACAGGCAGAGAAATTGCACGTCGGAGGTTGCGTGTTGGACCCTTGTTTTTTTTATTACACATAAAGAGAGAGAAATGTATTTATTTTACTTTTTTTTTCTTGTTCAAAGGGGGAGTTTTAATGTGTGCGGCTTCAGTCCCCATGTAGAAATGATTCCCTGTCTTACATCATAAATGCTTTACCAAATCCGAAAGAAACCATCTGAAAGCAGCGCTGCTTTGTCCATCCCCATCTACATCTTGTATCCAAAATCAAAACCCTCTTCATTTCATCATCCCATAATGATCCAATAAGCCCTTTTTAGACCTATAACTCTTCATCTAATAATCTTATCAATTGTCATCGTTGGTAGTAGTTGATTTTTAAAATTTCCCTGTAACTCTTTTTAGACCTCCCAATTTTAAATATGATTTTTGTTTCATTGAAAAATATCCTGATGTTGATTAATTTAGGTTGAAATCCTTTGGTTACTTTGTTTTCGATATTCTACCTCTACCGTCAGATCATACTAAAACAGAACTATATAGTTTTTCTCATCAGGAAAAGCCCAATTACTATTAAGATTAAAAGAAGGAGCTATTGATCATAGAAAAAACCATGATCCAGAAGACGAACCTTGAAAAATCATCAAGAGAATCCTTTTTTCTTTCTCTTCTTTGAGCTTCTGTTTCTTTTTTCTTCTTTAGGTTCCTTTGTTGGTTTAGGGTTTGAATTTTTATGGAATATTGTTTTTGGTTTAGAGAATTTAAGGTTACTCAAATATTGATAGAACCAGGATAGACTTTTGCCGTTAAGATTCGGTAAGGGTGAAATACCTTTTAGAATCGAGAAACATTAGTGTCGAATGAAAGTATAAAATTCTTGAGTTATGATTCAAACGACTAAAAACCTGATCCATAATCATCCATAGTCGAAGTTAATTGAAACATACCAAATATGCTTGTGGCATACATTGACATATCTATAAGCAATTGTTTTTGGACTCGATTCTGGTCTCCGACAGGTACTCGTAACTTTTTCATTGATATTGGCTTCCTTTCCTTGAAGAGTCTTGAATTCATGCTCGAACTTTTTACAATTTACTTTGTAGTTTGATTGGAGCTTGGCAAAAAACAGCTTGAACTTCGGTTATTGATTAGAGATGGAAGTGCCTAACACGTTCTATCACAAGCATCTCACTGCTTGTCAAGATCTAGCTGTATTCCGAGCCTTCCTCGCGAGTATCTCGCTGTATTTGAAGTCGTAGCATGGTTTCTGGACCACCTTTTTTTAGTATGTTACTTTTCGTTTTCTCACAGGTAGTTTTTGTAATATTTCACATCGTCCATATTATGGCCGCCAGTGCATTCATCTCCTCGCATCGTCGATATTCTGGTCACCAGAGTATTCATCTCCTCGCATCGTCGATATTCTGGCCACCGGTCTATTCGTCTCCTCGCATGGCTCTGATAACTACTGTCGATGGGCAACCAAGAACATCAGACTTACCTCTTGAGCATGTTGTACTCTTTACTTAGCAAATTCAGGGTACTTGCGAGTGAACTAGTTTCATATTTGGACTTTGGCCAATCATGTAGTAAATTTCTAAACTTTCTAAGATTAGCTTAAACCATGAACCAGTTTGTTCGTTGTTGTTTCAACGTTATGGGTTTGGACCTAATGACTTCGAATTATGGAGGGGATGTTTAAAGCATTAACCCATTCGGAAATGACATTAGTGTTTAGATTTTAAGGCATACTTTAAGCTTAAATGCCACTTGTACTATCAAGCATGTTTTTTTCCTTAATTTTTAATTTTATATCCTTAAAGCCGAAGTAGATGAAGTGAGTACAGCACACCGCCATGGCTACCAAAAAACTGTTTTTTTGGGCCACTTACACAGTTTTTCAGCCTGTCTGGATTAACAGACTCGAGCATTCGCACATCAATGTCACTAAACATACATAAATGGTTTCATTCATAGTAGATATCGTTTGCTTTACCCAAGAGGTGGGTATAAAGGAAGAAATCACTATGAATGTCTTTGCGACTCGGATCCGTGTCTTTGGCGGAAGATGCTTGGTCTTATGCCAGGATCCGAACCGCTGGTTGCAGCCTCGTGGAATGCAACCCACCCCGAATCTCTGTCGACTTGGTTTAGTGAAAATGAAGACAACTGATCTCTTTCCCAAGCATGGAAGTGAGCTGACACAGGGTTTTCTGGATCTTGAAAGTTGTGACCGCCGGAAGTACCTGATGCAACGAAATAGAAGCCACTTGTATGGTCGGATGATGAAGCCACCGGTCCAACATAAGCCTGACTTCTACGGCTTCTTGACCTAGGGGAGCTGGAAATACTGGGAGTCTGTAATGCTGGCAAAGTGCTAGAGTGATGGTGTTGATAGTATGCCTGAAGTGCTTGAACTCTATCACGGGTCTGGGCATTGCTACCATGGTAAGCAGGTATAAACGAGGCAGGAGCCGCATTTGCTGCTCTAGCACCAGAACTGTGAAAAACATAATCCGTTTAATCTATATATGCTTAGAAAATGCAACTGTCAAATGTTATATATTTCGGAATGATATTTTAGTCAAAAAAGTGAAGCAGCAGATAATAAAATCAAGCTCTTATATTTTCGCAATGTCCGACTCTAGTCCTTTACTAGGGGAGGGGAGAGAGAGGAGTTTACGTGAGGAAACATTGCTTGCATCTGGAAAATGGATGCTGAACAGAACAGAATAACAAATGGATGCGCATAAAAGAGCAGTGAAAACCCAATCGGATAATCAAAGTCAATTATGTTGAGCCATACCTGTGGCCAACAACAAATGGATGCATAAAAGACTCCGGTCTTGGCATATCCGAACCATTCATGGCCAGCCTTTGACTGACAGATGGAATTGAAGGTTGATCAGAACTACCAATTTGACGGGTAGATGTGGAGAATGGAGGGGAATGGTGCTCCCAACTATGATAATGGAGATCCATTGCAGGAAAAGCATAAGAGGTAGGTATCTCACTAGGCACTGATGGACCATTCCAGTGACCATTGAAACTATAACTATCTGAAACATTTCCACTGGAATTTGAGGACGAGGGATGAATCATTGGCCCAACGTAAGCTATATATGGACGAGTAGCAGATGATGAATGTTCTGAGAAGATAGCATGTTGTCCCACTAACTCATGATCTGCATTCCAATATAACCCATTTCAGAATACCAAGTCTCTTCACTATAAAATCCATAAACAAACATTACTCGAGAAAAAAGAAAGGAAATGTCTTACATGTTGAGGAAAACTCTCCTTGCCTGAAAAAAAGAAAAACAAAATCAGAACGTGTTAGGGAAAGAAAATAATTGAAACTTGACCTTGGCAAGAAAACTAAGCAAACAAAATGTAATGATAGGCATAAAGAATGAAATGGTATGTTTCAATATGGAAGAGTTGATGACAATAAACTTAAAAAAGGTTTTTCTGACGGGGGGGAACTATAAGCATATTGTTCCTTCCACATAGAGGTGGCAAACAGGTCATTCACATCGAGTTCGGTTCGGGTCATTTCGGTTTATACTTAATTCGGGTCAGGTTTGGGTCGGATCGGGTCATTTCGGGTTTAGGTTTTATTCGGATCTATAGTAATTCGAGTTGGGTCCGGATAGGGCCAGGTCATTTTGGTTTCGGTTTTATTCGGATCTATAGTAAGTTGGGTCAGTTCGGGTATCGGGTCGGGACAAATCGGATCGGTTGATTTTCGGATCAGGTTAATATCCGATCGATTATTTTCGGCTTGGGTCAACTTTGGATCTTCATGTCAATTTAGGTTGAGTTAGGTATAAGTTAAATCAAGTATATATAGAATTATTGATATATTTTTGTAAAAAAATTGAGTTTGGGCAAATTAAATTCAGGTTATTTTCGGTTCGGTTGCTTTCGGTTTGGGTTGCTTTCGGTGCGGGTTACTTTCGGTTCGGTTAAATTCGGGTCAGTTTCAATTCGGATCGGGTTACTTTCAGGTCGGCTTCAGTTTGATTCGGTGTTTTGGGGTTTTGGGTCAAATTTGGGTCATCATGTTCGGGTCTATTTTGGGTCTCGGTCTGGGTAAATCGGTTTGGGTAATCAGTTTCAGGTCAGATTTGCCACGTCTACTTCCACAGAAATAAACAATATGGTGTGGTTATGTCGAGATGCTATGCTCCATTAATTTAAGCTTAGGAAATTCTTCTAGTGCAACTAAGTGGTCTGGTGCCTAATAACTCTTTAAATTTTTAGCTATTTTGCTCACGTATCTCATGCAGAACAAATTTGCAATTGACAGAGAAACAATCAAGATACAGTTAAATGTTGGGTCTCTAGAGATAATTTTCAGATTCGAGGCCGTCTTAAAATACTCATACATCGATTTCAATAGTCACATCTACGACTTGATTGAGTTCCAATGCAGTGACACCACAATTATAAGCACAGGATTAATGTTTTTCTTCAATTTCGTAAATCAGTTTCTAACTAAGAAGATGACAACTCTCTCTCCTTTTGCAGCTATCTACAACAAAGATTGACCCTAAACATACACAAAAGTGTAAGGTGGAGTACATTTGATGTGAAGAGAAGACAACTGACCACCATATCACAGCATAAAGCTTTAAGTAGAAAACTATTCGGATTGTAATAATGTGAGGTAATGCTTACTCGAATGACAAAGGAAGTCGTGCTAAGCTTCCAAATGGACACCAATGGACTCCAAATGACTACAAACACAATAAAAAGCCAAAACAAGCAGTAAATATATTTCAATTCAACTCATCTGTCAGTCTAAAGTGTACAAAATAAAGAGCCAAAGAAAGCAAACAACAAAAACTACCATTTGAGACATGACTGTATAGATTTGCAAAGCTGTGTATGGAGACTAATGCAATTTTATAATCAGCCAAATTTTCCTTTGGGCGGAAATTATTGAACTTTAACAAACCTTGAAATGATTTAGTAAAAGAATTTTGGTTTATTAACGAGGAGATAAAAAAATCAAATCATTCATAAATCAATGAAAAGGATAGTGGTCTAACAGAAATAGGGAGAGGGCAAGGAATGAGAAGGTTAAACACATACTTTTGGTATGCCATGAATGCTGAAACAGTATGTAAAAAATTTGCACAGCAATGTTGCTCCAATACCATTTCAGAGAAACTTAAATCATAAAGGTCCTCATCATGTGTGAATTCATCCACACTAAATTCCGGGTGTGAACGGCTACCACTGGCATAAAACCATTGACCTTTTTCAATTTTCCTACAATTAGGACATTGCATTGCACCCTTTATATTGAATGCTGAACCAATGCAATCTGAAAACAATAATTACAAAACGTATAAGTTAACGATTAGAACCTTCAAAATGAATTTCAAGCAATCATTTTCTTACACCGTCTGCCAACTACAACAATAACGCGGCTCAACTTATGTCCATCGAGTAGCCATCTTTCAAGTTGTAGCTCAAAAAAATACATTGATAAACCGAGTATCATCAAAACTACAAACATAGTTTTCTTCTAATCTGATACCCTTCTGCTAATAATCTAGGGAAACCGATTGCAAAGAAGAAGTCACTAAGATCATCCAATCAGCCAAAGCAATAGACCCGAAAAAATAAAAGAAATATTGCAACATATAAACACCATTAGATTGAGCCTCATTAAACTAGATATATTATTCATGAAGATAAATTTTCGTTGTCAGCTGAAAGAATAGCAAAGATTAAATTTAAAAAAAAAAAATTAATGACCTAACAAGATGAAAATCTATGGTTTTCTCATTTACATCATCAAATAAACCAAAATTAAAGACATCCTAGAAACTAGATAAGCATACATAAACCCAGATCTTAACATCCCGATATTCATAGGAAAAATATGTCCAGACGAAATCAGCTTCAAATTTAGGCAATTTGACTTACCCAAGTGAAATTGGTGACCACATTGAAGATTAGCCCATGATCGATCTCCATTATCAGTAACTATTTCGAGGCAAATCGAGCATGAAACCGAACCGGGGGACTTCCCTCCATTTCGGCAATCAGCACCATCGCCGTCTCCGCAACCATCACCCACCACCACATCATCTCCACCATTACTCTTTAATCCCATAATTAAAACAGTTATAAACTTAAAAATTAAAGGACCTCCCGAATCTCAATTTTCTGAGGCTAAATTCCATAAAATTGATTTTTAAAATAAAATTAGCCCCTTTTCCTTCCCCTCCTCCTCCTCCTCCTCCACCAATTTACCAACACAACCTCCGATTCCAACCTGATAAAATTACCCCCCAGATAAGAAAAGGAAAAGAAAGAAAGCTTCACGCCGTCTAAAATTCCTTTATTGATTGACCATAGAAGAACACAAATTTTAGATTTTCTTTTTTTGGAAGGCTGATTGGAAGATAAAATTGGTCTCTTATTTTTCCTTCGCTTTCGTTTCTTTTCTAATTCAATTCATTCTCTCTTATTTTCTCTGCTTCCGGGGAGTTACCGCTCGGATTCTTTCTTCGAGTTGACATAGATTATTGCGCAAAAATTATATAAAATAAAGATCAAAGAATATAAATAGTCACCAAACTTTTAGGGAACTTGCATTTTGGTCACTCAACTTTTGAAACTTGTAATATAATCATTAAACTTTTAGTTCGTTTTCAATTAGGTCTATATCATTACCTCTCTTTAATTTTTAATGACGTGACACTTAACTGTCCTTAACTCTCTGACATGGTAGCTTCTTTTCTCCATCTTCTTCCAGCTTCTTCTTCTTCCTCGTGGTAGCTTCTTTTCTTCTTTTTCTTGCAACTTCTTCTTCTTCTTCAAAACTTTAACTAATCATTTACAAATCAAAAACACATATTTATAGTAAAAATCAAAACTTTTCAATCCAAAAGAGAAAATAGATAAAAACAATAACACAACAATCATGTAAATATAATGAAAATCATTACCATGTTTACGCTTATAAGGAAGTGTTCCCACCTCAAGCAACTTAGCAATTTCATGAGTTATTTCTCTCTCTCTATTTTCCTAAGAAAAATCATTTTCTCTTTACTTTCCCGGGAAAAAAACTGATTAACTCTTGCAAGAAACACTTGCTTTTAATATATTTTAAATTAAAAACTTATGGTTTTTTAGTTGTAAGAAATTGATGGCAGCAAAAAAGCAACGGCTTATACGTCAAGCACCATATATCCTTATTATTCAATTGGAGGTGATTTACATAATATCTTTGAAGTTTTCATTCCGATTTTATAGTTTCTTGTGTTAGTCTTTATTATAATTATTTATGGAGTAAGCAAGTTAATTGTTAGATTGTTATGCCAGAGATTTGAAGGAATACTTGGTATGAAGATTGATAGGCTTATTACATTTGATGAGGTTTTTGTTCTTTAAAGCTTCATGTCCAAAGCAAGTCAGGTTTGTTAAGAAGTTGGTTTTACGTATAAGTTTTTGTGGGCGGTACCAATTGCTGCATTATATGAATTATAGTATGAGCATTTCATTTGCTTGTGTAGAATAACATTAAATGATTTATTGTCCGAAAGGAAACCATCATAAGGAATGATGGATTTTCTTGCAAAGTTAATTAATTTTTTTCTTGAGAAAGTAGAGAGAGAAGTTGATTTTTTTTAGAAAAATAGAGAGAAAAAAAAGAATCCAAGAAATGGAAAGGCTTTGGATATGAGATTTGAAGAAGAATAAGAAGTTGCAAAAAGAAAGAAAGAAGAAGCTGCAAGAAGAGGTAGGAAAGAAGCTGTCACGTCAGAGAGTTAATGGCAGTTAAGTGTCACGTCAGTAAAAACTAACAGAACATAACGATAGGGACCTTATTGAAAATGAACTAAAAGTTTGATGATTGTATTGCAAGTTTCAAAAGTTGAATGACCAAAATGCAAGTGTCCTAAAAGTTTGGGGACTATTTATATACTTTATCCTAAAATAAACTACATGTTTATCACCTAAACTATTAGTTCTATTTTATTTAGTATATAAATTTTTATTTATTTCAAAATCATATTTAATTTTTTATTTTTTATTTCATTTAAGTAGCCATCGTTGAAAATTTAATGGTTGTATTTTTATGCATAAATTACAATATTCATCATTCAATTATCTTCTAACTCTTACTTTGGTCATTAAAGTTTAAAAAAATTCACTTTAACTACTTAACTTTCAAATTGCTCTTGGTTTAATCACTCTAATTTATTTTATTAAGGATTTTTATTGTTTGACATTTTTTTATTATTATTTTATTAATATATAATTAAAATAAAAAAATAAATTTAAAAGTTAGAGTTATTAAATTATGATTAAAAGTTAAGTATTTAAATTAAAAAAACTTAAACTTTAATATCAAAATAAGAGTGAGAAAATAATTGAGTGATGAATGATATAATTTACCCATAAAAATGTACCACGTGTAACCATTCTCGTAAGTTTTTAACTGTGAGATATCAAAACAAAACAAAAAGTAAATATTCTCATAAGTATGATATAATTAAAAAGTAAACAAATGAAAGTTTTAGTACTAAAATGAAAAATTGATAGTTTGGGTACTAAGTGTACAGTTTACCCAAATATATATATCATAATATTATTTTCAATAGAATAAATGGAAAATTTTATAAGTAAAACTTTGTATTCTTATGGTAGGTTTGTTTCACTAAAATAAAACATTTTTTTAGTGATTGGTCAGTGAAAAACAGAAAGTTAATATAATTTATTTTTTTAATAAACAAAATTTCCCTTGCATTTTTTAAAAAATGACTTGTGGTTTGATTTTCATAAGTTATTTTCTAAAATAATATTATTTTAAAATAAAATATTTAATAGTAATATATTATTTTACTATTATTTTAAGAAAATAATTAATTATTAAAATACATTTATTAATAGTTTTAATAATATAATGTAATATTTTTAATGTTATAATAATATATTAAATTATACTATAGTAATATATGATATTATATTTTTATTTTAATAATATATACTAAATTATTAATAAAATTGATTTATATATTAATTTCATAAAATAATATTATTACATTATTAAATATTTAAAATATATTTATCAATTATAGAATATAATTTAATATAATTTTAAAATTATAATAATATTTTTATTTTAATAAGTAGTTAATATAATTAATAGTATAATATTCTTAATATAATAAATAATTAATGTAATTTATAAAAAAAATTATTTTAATAAAATATATTAATAATATTATTTTTTTTTTCTATAAAATTATAAAAAATATATTCGTTAAGCTCGAAATGATCAACCGAAAACCTCCAAGAGGGGTGAATTGGCTTTTAAAAATATTTGATGTAGAAGCAATAAAAGATAGAAAAATTGGCACAACTATATATAGTGGTTCGACTTCTCAATCAAGTCTACATCCACTACCTTAGCTTCATACCAAGGATTTTCTAACAAATTTACTAATTTGTTCTTTCTTTTTCTAGGATCAAGAGTAACATTTACAATTTCTTAGCTTTTCAAAGGTTAAGCTAAAATCACTCCCTTTATACAAAATATAAGAAATGTAAACAAAAATGGCAAGATTAAAACCTAGATGGAACGATAACCAAGTTTTAAGATTTCATTAGTTTTTATCAAACTTACGTTTAAAAAAGGCCTAAATATACAAAATGTGCCCAACTTATGTCCTTTTTTCAGTTTAATGCTTAATATTTATTTTGTTCCAGTTTCATTCCGTTACTCAAAATGGGTTAAGCATGTTAAAATTTGGCCGTTAAGTGACACGTGTCACACTTTAAAAATTTTTATTTAAAATTTAAAATTTAAAATTATATATATTATTTAAAAAGAAAACACAAATTTTAAATAAACCTAAAACTTTGAAAACATTCATTTCAACTATTAAAACCACGCCGACCATCGTTTTTTGCCGTCGACTATCACTTTTTGCCGTCGACCAAGCTCCACCGACCTCCCATTCCCTCGACTACCAAAACTCCCATAAAAGTGTGACTGATCAACGGCCAATCGATGATGATTCAATGTTTTATACCCCAAGAACCCTAGGATGAAATTCGTGATCTAATGCGATTTCGATAGCAGATCAGTCACAATTTCATGGGAGTTTTGATCATTGAGGGGAGTAGAAGTCAATTGAAGCTTCGTCAATAGCAAATGGGGACGATCAACATGGTTTTAATGGTTAAAATAAAGGCTTTCAAAGTTTTGAGTTTATTTTAAAATTTATGTTTTCTTTTTAAATAATATATATAATTTTATTTTTTTTAATTTTAAATAATTTTTTTTTAAATTACCAGGTTGTGACACGTCACTTAACGGCCAAACTTAACATGCTTAACCTATTTTGAGTAACGGAATGAAACTGAAACAAAATAAATATTAAGTACTAAACAGAAAAAAAAGACATAAATTGGACACCTTTTGTATATTTAAACCTTTTTTAAAGGTAAGTTTGATAAAACTAATGAAATCTTAAACTTGTTATCGTTCCATCCGGGCTTGAATCTTGCCATTGCTGATTGGTTGTGTAATTGTAGTACATATGCAGCCATCCTTTTCAATGATGATTTAAGTATTTTTTTCCCCAAAAAACTAGTGTACAAAAGCATGGCAGTCTTCAAATATAACAGCAAACTGCAAACCTAAGACGATATAATTGGACATATTCCCCAACAGCATGATGCCATGTCTCCCAGCGAAATGTTGTCTCTGTCTGATTAAGCGTAGTAATTTAGGCTCGCCTTCTTCTTTGCTTGTACCTGAACGATACCTTCATTGAAATCTTCATGGTTGACCTGTAAAACAGATTGATCCAAAACAAATTTTAATATGCACAGCCCTCCAGATGCACACCCAACCCCCATTCACTATGAAAGCTCTTCTTGCCAAAAATAAATTTCAAGATAATAAACTCCAAGAAGATTACAACTGCACCTCAGTTGCATCACGGCGAAGAGCTAGCATGCCGGCCTCAACACAAACAGCTTTCAGTTGTGCTCCATTGAAATCATCTGTCGACCGAGCAAGCTCCTCGAAATTCACATCTGGATGGACATTCATCTTCCTTGAGTGGATCTACAAAATCAATGCAAGTATTCAGTATAATTCATCCCAGGTTAGAATCCAACCAAGTGGTGGCCCTCAAAGTCATACCTGAAGGATTCGAGCTCTTGCTTCTTCAGTGGGATGTGGGAACTCAATTTTACGATCCAGTCGACCAGAACGCATCAGAGCAGGATCAAGAATATCAGCTCGGTTAGTTGCTGCTATGACCTACAATACATTCATCAAATAAAAATAGATCACTCATATTTTAGCAAATAAATAACCAAAAAATCACGCCAAGGCAAACCTTAATGCGTTCATCACTGCTGAAGCCATCAAGCTGGTTGAGCAGTTCCAACATTGTCCGTTGAACCTCCCTATCTCCACTCACCTCACTGCAAATTATAACAGGCAGATCAAGAATCAGTATCCACAAATAAATGCCACTACAGGCCTCAACAAATTTACTTTTGAAGAAATTAAGATATGACATTACCTATCAAAACGCTTTGTGCCAATTGCATCAATTTCATCAATAAAAATGATGCAAGGAGATTTTTCTTTTGCAAGCTGAAAAGCATCACGTACAAGTTTTGCACCATCTCCAATAAACATCTACATGCATTACATTTGTGTTACTTAATATAGAGCCTAAGCATGCCAACATAAAATCAAAACATAATGTGGTTATATATTAAATAAAACTACTTTGTTACTCACAAATTTTCTATAACGTTCTATAAACCAAGGAGTATGGCAAAAAAATATTTGCAATATTAATTGAAAGGAGTAGACAAGGTCGAAATTACAGTGAAGTAAGCTGAAAGGATACAAGACTTAATACCTGAACCAGTTGGGGGCCTGCTAGCTTCAGAAACGTAGCATTGGTCTGTGCCGCACAAGCACGAGCCATCAGTGTTTTTCCAGTTCCAGGAGGTCCGTATAAGAGCACTCCCTTAGGTGGGCGAATGCCTAGCTTTTGAAATCGTTCTTTATGAGTCATGGGCAACACAATGGCCTCAACTAGTTCTTGGATCTGATCCAGGAACAAGCATAAGAAAAACAACATTTAACAATAAATTAACAGTTATGAAATAATATTCTTAGAGAGAGGAAGTGGGAATTTAAAAAACTTTGCCTGCTTCTCCAAGCCACCAATATCATTGTAATCCTCAGTTGGCTTCTCATCAACCTCCATAGCCTTTACTCTGGAGTCATACTCAGATGGTAAAGTATCCAATATCAAGTAGCTGTCTTTGTTGACCCCAACCAAATCACCAGGTTTCAATTTATCAGGGTCAACAAGTCCAACCACGGGTAGAAAGATGGTCTGTAGTAATTAAAAAACAAGACATGGTGAAACCAATTTTTCTTTTCAACAATATCAAGAAAATCTTAATTTGATATTTGATAACTAATTTCACTAGAGAAAACAGAACAGATTATCAAATTTCCCATAAGTAGGAGATAAGAAATCATGCCCTTCCATTACCTGACGAGTAGAAGTTTTCAGCACAACACATTTGCCCTTTCTTTGCGAGTCTAAATCAATGTTGGCACCATCCTCCTCTGCCTCATCTTCAGGATTCATCTCCAATATCTGAAAGAAATTGTAATTAAAATTAAAGCCCCCAAGCAGACACCATGCGACTCCCTACTCTTCTTTTTCCTTCAAGTACCCTATGTTCCTCACCCATGACCCATGTCAAGGCATATTTTCGAATATGGGCATGGGATATGAAACTCCAAGTGCATTAAAATACTTTTTAAAAATAAAAATATATCAGAATATAGAAAGCATAAGGTTGCTTATCTATGATATAACTACATCAGTAATGGCTCATTATTCATCTGCTACTGCTACCCATTTGAATACTCTTTTAAGGATGTTCAAATTCATAATCATATATACCCGTGCAAAATCAATAGAATATCACAGGAACACAGTTTACACAAATGAAGAAGAAAGAACGAAAGAAAAAAAATGATGCAAGATTTACCTCAACAATGTTGCCGACCAAGTAAGGCAGCTGTTTGTTAAGCTTAATCTTCTCTTGATTCTCCTTAATCTTTTCCTTGTATGAATCCAACTCGAGATTTGTCCTTCGCATCTCATCCTTCAAACCCAGAAACCAATTAAAACAAAAATCAGAAAATTCACGCTAAATATAGCTACATTCTTCCGAAAGACCAAAAGTTTTTGGTGTAACAGAAACTGTTTAGCTTCAAGCAAGAAGATTTCACATTTCTAATAGAACCATGAAATTTACCACTAAACTAAAGAACCTTCCCTTAACAAATTCTTAGGTTTAATCAATATCCAGAACAAAGATCTGACTAACGTCGTGTAATTGAAAGACGACATTTTATTAAAATTGATAGTCGTGGATTTAAAAACCCTGAAACTAGAACAAGAACCTTAAAGACATACGAAACAAATAATAATAATCAACAGATATAGAGATGGGGGAGATCAAGGGTGGAGAAGGACCTTGAGAATTCGAATCTCATTATCAAGAAGACGGGAAGCTCGGACGATATCATCGGTGGTCATGGAAGCCAACTGGTCTTCTTCAAAGGTCGAATCTTCCACCATAGCGGTCGCCATCGGTGTCGGTTTTCAAGAACGGAGATTTCAATCGAGAGATGAATCTGAGAAAGTATAGAAAGCAGTTCAAATGGAGAAAAAGGAGAGAGGCGGAGAGATCAGGAAAAAGAGAAACAAATGAAGATCTTTATACTTTTCTTGTTCGCGAAGAAAAGGAAGACATCGTAGGCGATGAATTGTTCATTTAGTCGTTCACCGAATAAAATAAAGGGTAAAGTATAGTAATGGTCTATTACATTTTCTAAAGATTTCATTTAGGTCCTTCAACTTTTAAAACTTGTAATACAATCCTCTAATATTTAATCCGTTTGCAATATGGTCCCCAAAGTAACCGACCGTTTAACACCGTTACACTGTCGTTGGTACATTTGCAATATGGTCACTAAACTTTTCAGGCACTTGCATTTAGGTCCCCTAACTTTTAAAACTTGCAACACAATCCTCAATTTCATTCTAAACCCCAAATACCTTTTCGATCTTGAATTTCCTTTTTTGCTTCTCTCTTCTCATTTCCAGTGTAACTTTTCAGTCGGGGATGCATGAGAAATTCTAATATAACTTTGAATTATGTGGAGGTATTGACTTGAATAAGGGTTCATTGAGAAAACACCTGACCAAGAGACTATCGGGACCATCAACGATTCAAGGTGTAATGTTAGATACAGGTCATCTCAAGTGAAGCATAGATGTTCGATGAAATGCTTGTGAGAAAAAATGGGGTTAGAAATGCAGAGTTAACAAATACTACTAAGATGAACTAAGTATCATTGTTGAAAGTCACCAACAAAGCTGGAATTATTTTGTATAAATGACATATAATAATTTCTTCGTTTCATCATTGTGGTTAAAGATTTTCCAACAGATGATCAAATATAATGAATCTCAAACAGCGCATTTACCTCTCAGCCTCTTTCGCTCACATACACTTTCGTTTGATTTTTGTTCTTCAATTTTCCGCCATGTAAAATTGTAAACCAAGCAGTCTATCTTTCAGCTTTTTATTTACAAAGAAAAATGGAGGAAGAATTACTGGAACACAATACCGGTTGTGTTTATTTCTTAGCCTTTCCCCTCACTTGCAAGAAGGTATTTATTTTCTCTTTGGGCTATCCGGAAGTAAGCTTTTCCTATTTCGCACTTTCCCATTTTCAGCTCGCATTGTGTGTTTTTTTGTTGACATTTTTATGTTTCTGGAACTGAATGTCAATGATCTGGATATTCAGTGTTAGTTTTGAACCAAAACTATCTAATTTTTTTTCTTTCTTCTTAATAAAAACTTTTAGTACTCCTTATTAAAGATATTTAGTCCATCAGAATAGAAGTGAAAGAGGGGCATATGCTAAATTTTTTTGATCTTCTTGTTTGGTTTTTCTTTAAATCAGGGAATTAGTTGTGAGTATCGACATAGTGAAATCGTCAGGCTCAATCCGAGAGACTGTTGGTACTAGTTTACTGGGAATTGTATTGATCTGACCTGTGATTTTCGACGTCCTGTGAGCTCGTATTCTTTTTAATAAGTTCATGTTGATTATGAGATTGGTATATCGTGAACGAATTGGATTTTTTACATGTTTTGGAAATTGAGGAATGTGTTTCAAGTTTTAAAAGTTGGGGGACCTAAATGTGTAACACCCCCAACCCGTACCCGACCCGGATACGAGTCTGAAGTGTCACATTGACTTTTCAAACTTTGACACTTAAAGAAAAACAGGAAAATTTTACACTTTCATTAAAACAAAAATACGTTAATTTACATAAAAGATACCACAAAATACAAAATTGACCAGAGCATTCGTAATTAACAACTTATTACATGCCAACACTCTATACACAACCAAAATATCTACTTTGTCAATTACTTCTGATCTGATCTTTTAGTAGTGATGTTGTCCTTACCACTTCTATTACTGCTCTTCTTGTTTCTTGGTACCTACGTGTAAATCACTTACACTCTAAGTCATAGACTTAGTGAGGCATAATATAAATATATAGATATAACAATGCATTCATGAACATGCATTCTTACCATATGATCATGACCTCTTAATTTGCATGCATCTATTACACTATAACATATATGATGGTGACATGCACATATAAAACATATATTCTTATGCTAATTCCACTTTAATTTATCTTTGGATTGCCCATGTACATTAATGAGAACATAAGGTGCGCGAGTACACAGAGGTTGTGCACAATGCTGTCACCACAGCTCGAATAAAATCCTACTATGGGCACTAAATATTTATCCCGAAGGAATACTATGTCCTGAAGGACCACTGATAATCCCTCGACTCTTGGCATGCCAATTATACCTACATCTCTCATATTAAATAACATGGGCTTAATTATAAATACATTTCTCATTCCATATCTCTTTCATCACTGTCCATGTAAACACATAAGTCATTTCATATGATCATTTCCATTATTTCACATACCTGGAAGGATTCTTTGATAATGGCATTCATTCATATAATATCATGTTAAATCATGAATGAAAAAAGCATGGAATCACTATAATGTTAACACACATATATATATATATATATATGTATGCATGTGCGTGAATATGGAATCATAAATTCAATGATAAAAGATAGACTTATCGCAAGTCTTATCTCAATTATATTTCATATAGGATATGCACTCACCTTGGCCTTGCTTGTTTTGACTTGATCTTAATCCTTCGTTTGTTCCGGAATGAAATTACGTTCTATATCTACATAGTAATACATTGATACTAATCAGTATACTTATTAATATATTCTAAACTATCACTCCTTAGGCTAAAAAGAAAACTATTTTCATCTTTTAATGAAGGTATGCATCGATGCACTACACCATGTATCGATACATCCCTTGACGGGTGCATCGATGCACTATCTATGCATCAGTACATAAATCCCATTCGATGTTTGTATTTTAAGGGGGTGCATCGATGCACTACTTGTGCATCGATACACTGATGGCATTCGATGTTTTTATTTTAAAGGAGTGCATCGATACACTTTATGTGCATCGATACTGTAACATCCCGAAATACGGGTCAGTGACTAAAATGAGAATTTTTTTAAATTTGGTGATAAAAGTAAAATAATTTAATAGTTTAATAACTTATTGGAATATAGTTGAATGTTGTTTGGTAATTATTGAATGAATTAAAGGGCAAATTGGTCATTTGATAAGAAAGATATTTTCCCCTTTTATAAGAATGAATCACGTGGGGGAAAAGAAAGAGTTATCTGGGAAACTCTCTTCTTCATCTTCTTCTTTCTCCCGTATCTCCAAGCTCAAAGGTAAGTTTGTGATTTCTTGATTATTTGTTGATTTAAAGGTTGGGTTATGATCACTAGATGATAATTAAGCTTAAGGAAAGTTTAATTTGTTCTTAAACAACAAGATAAAATATATATGAGAGATTAAAGATTTGGAGTTCATGAATGAAATCTTGGAATAGAGTTCATTACTCATATTGGAAGACAAATTTGACTTGTCATCCACTTAATTAAGGGATATGATACTTGACCTAGAATTGAATTTAGAACAAGTAGAAAATTTAGTATGATTCTTGGATTTCATATGGAAGATAGAATTTTGAGTTTAAAGAAGTGATTATGGAGTAGAAGTGAGTTTAAGTATGTATATGAAAGTTAGGAATATTAAAGGAGGTGAAAGATGAAGAATTAAGCGGAAAGAGAGTGAATTTGTGCTTAAAATGTAAATTCTGGGTTGTGTGCATCGATGCATCTTCAATGTGCGTCGATGCACTCTCAAATAAATGAACATCGAATACAATCAGTGCATCGATGCATAAGGAGTGCATTGATGCACCTGCTTAAAATACAAACATCGAATAGGATTTATGCACCGATGCATGAATAGTACATCGATGTTCCTGTCAAGGGATGCATCGATGCATGGTGTAGTGCATCGATGCATGCCTTTATTAAAAGATAAAAATAGCTTTCTTATTAGCCTAAAGATTGATAGTTTAGAATATATCAATTAGTATACTGATATGTATCAATGTATTAATATGTAGATTTAGAACGTGATCTCGTTCCGGAACAATTGAAGGATTAGAATCGAGTCAAGCAAGGCTAAGGTGAGTACATATTAGAAGTATGGTACAAGGGAATAAGACTTGTGATAAGTCTAATTCCTATATTGATTTTCATAGCACAATAGTTATGAACATGCATACATGATAATTATTATGATAAATGCATAAAGTATATATGTTCATATGATTTGATAAATGATATATGTGAAAAGACCTAAATGCACATGTGATATGATAAGTGATATGAGCTATGTTATCACAAGAGAAATGACATGAACACATGAAACATAAGAATAACTCCCATGGTATACGATATGAGAGCTATATGTATAGTTGGCATGCCAAGAGTCGAGGGTTCTACGTGGTCCTTCGGGACGTATATGTATCATTTGGAACATTTACAGTGTCTTTTGAGACAGATCTAATCCACTAAAATATGTATATGGTTCTTAAGGAGTGGTCCTTCGGGACAAATACAATCATAGGTCCTTCGAGACAAATTTTATAGCCCCTAGTGGGACCCATACGAGCTGTGGTGACAGCATAGTGCACAACCTCAATGTACTCGAATACCTTGAGTTCTCAAAAATGTACATGGGCCTATAAAAGTTTATCAAAGGTAATTACATTGTTATAGTTATATGTTATCATATTATTATTGTTTACATTGAATTGTATATGACAGGATTGAATGGATAGATTGCATGTTCATATTCATACTGAATGCATTATTGTTATATTTATATGTCTCAATAAGTCTATGACTTAGCGTGTAAGTGATTTACACGTAGGTACCAAGAATCAGGAAGAGTGGAAATAGGGTTGCAAGAACAGCAGCACTGCTAGAAGATCAAATCATAAGTAACAGATAAAGTATGTCTTTTGTCATGTATATGGTTGGCATGTAAGAAAAGTGTCTGTTACAAATGCTCTGATCAGTTTTGTCTTGTTTTGGTTAACTTGTGTAAAGTAACAATGTTATTTTAAGAAAGTTTTAAATTTCCTTGATTTTTCGTCAATAGTC